ATTGTAGATTTTTTTTCCTAGGATTTTTATTCCGATCACCGAAAATAATTGATCTAGGTACCGTTGATTCAGATACATGGATATAAAGTTGCCATGATCTACAGATTCTTTACGGATATAAGATAAGTAAAAACATAGACATAACTACATACCTACCTAAGTGGAACTGAATTGTATATTTTAAATTTGTACCCATATTTTGTACTCACCATACTTTATTAATGTATAATGCTTAATGTAAATTCTATAATAATATGTAGGTATGATATGTTTTATTGTTGAGCTGTAATAGTCTCTGACTAAAAGCTATTAAAAAAAAAAAAACCTAATAAGTATAAGAACTACATTCAATCAGGAATGAAGAATACATTAATCAGCTATATCAATTAAACTTTATATAGTAGACAAAATGAACTTTAATATCATTGACACACATCCTGATCCCTACAACAATAATATAACATAATATATTTTAAAAATATACAGCAATTAATAAAAATATAAAATATATAATATGAATGTATGATGCATTGATGCGAAATGGTTATGTGAAGTATTGGTAAGGAACCTTCACTAAAGTTAATAGATAAGTAAAAATACTTAATTTATGTACACATTTTTGTGGGAGAGGTTACGGTTATGATCCGGGAATTATGGCCCGGGCCCCGCAAATTGTATGGAAGGCCCAGCGGCCCTGAAATGTACCTATTATGTAAGCAACTGAAAATTGTGATGTTATTCTTATAAATGTGTTGAATCTAGAAAAAAACGTCAAATCTATTGCACTTAAAATTCACAAATAACAGTTTTAAGTCAATTATCAAGTTCTTAAATAAAATGTTTAAAAAAATAAATAGGTAAATAAAAGTGATAAATCACAAATAACGTGTAGAATATACTAAAGTTGTTAAAAAATGTGGTAGGTATGTTTATCCCTATTAAAACAGGTTCTTTTACTTAAAAAATCACGAATATCAGTTTTTCACTAAAATAAAATAATCCTGACATCTGCTATTATTGACTATAAACTTAATTTAAAAAAAATATTTAACTGTATATAATATGATATATGCTGAAATTAATTACAAATGTTCAACTGTTGTTATTTTAAGTACCTTTACAATGTTGTCACTTTTTACTTGTTTACCGACCACCGTTTACCTATGTACCTATATGTGGCTATGTACCATTCAACCATTGTACCCCCAATCGGCTATCCCTATGGCGTGTTAAAATAGTTACGACTCAACCCCGCCTAGAAATTGATTTTTCCTTAAATATGTGACCACATGTAACACATCCACACTGTACAACCATGAAGGTACTTAATAGCAACTAACAATTTAAGATAAAAAAATAAAAATATTTGCTTAAAATGCCTTAATAATCATCAATCTAGACTGATCTTTAGCAAACTAGAAAACAAACTTAAGACTTAAGTACATTTATTAGTTATTACAATTATATTGTGGTGACTCAAATGCAATAATCGATGTTAAAAAATGTATAAAAAAAGTTATTGATATCGGTTGGCGTTGACAAACACTTGTTATTTGATAAGCCGATAGATAATGAGGTATTAACTATTGGAGGTTAAGCTTAAATAAAATAAAATTAAGACAAATGAGACGTGTCTAAGTGATGGTTGCAATATGTCACGCCAAATTGCAAAGAACCGAAAGTCGGGGACGAGGTAAAAATACTGTACCTATACAAACCATCAAGGCGGTGGAAGTGGAATAGTAAGCCACGGTCTGTGAAAAAAACGTTCATACTCAATACTTCATAATAATATCATGACATGATATTAATAAATAATGTGTGAACGCGGTTTTTTTTTAGGATTTTTTGAAGGATCATTTTGAAATTTGTTATTTGTTTCTACTTTCTGATGGCGTCGATATGTCGGTACTATATTTAAAAAAAAATTTATAGTGGTAACTTAGATATTATTTTTTGTATTTGGAAAAAAAAGGCGCAATATCAAAATACGGTATAAAAAGCCCCACCTATGGAAAAGAAAGCCTCGTACCAACTAAATTCCTAACACTCTTTTATTGTAGTGTATTATATTATCATTTTTAATTTTAAAATAATATATCATTATTTATCTTTACGTTTTTTATGTAGGGATCAATAACCATATTTGTAATGTATAATTTGTATATACTTTTATATCACAATAATATTTAATAAAATGATAAATCCAATATTTTAAACTATTTAAGTATATAAGCATACATTTGAAATATAAGAGATTAAAGTATATACCAGGGGTCACCAAGTGACGGCCCGCGGGCTGCATCCGGCCCGCGAATGCATTTTAACCGACCCGCAGACTGAGAAGAAAATCCAATAATTTAATACGAATTTTAATCAGATGATTTCCTAAAAAATGTGTGTAATGAAAAGTATTCAAAAACTGAAATCGATTCTACATATGATGAATTTTGGTTAAAATATGTATCTGAAAAGAAATACCCGACGTTGAAATTATTGACAGCGAAAATGTGTACAATGTTTGGCTCCACATACGTCTGTGAGTCTGCTTTTTCAAAAATGAAATATATCAAAAACAAATTCCGATCCCGACTCACCAACGAACACCTTGAAATGATGATGAAGATAGCTACCACAAACCATAACCCCGACTTAAAGCAGCTAGTTGAAAGCAAGATCTGCCATTTTTCTCATTAAAAATATTAATTTATAATTGTTTCATATATTTATTAAATTTTATTTTATTTTCATTAGTTTTAGTTACATAATAATTAATAAGTGTACATATTTTTTTTTTAGAAATAAAGAATTTTTGACCAACGGGCATATTATAATAATTATTATGAACTTTGAATTTTTATGGCCCGCGAGAATTTTCCGAATTCTTAATGTGGCCCGCGGAAAATATTAATTGGTGACCCCTGGTATATACTATGTAGTAATACAAGTAATTGGCATTTAAGCATTTAACTTTATCTTAAAAATTGTTAAGATATTATATTTTATTGTAGACTTTATCTTAGTATCTACAACATTTTATTATTAAAAATGTGTTTTTTTCGTTCATATAGTTATTGCCTTAATGGTTGTGATTATTTTGAATTAAAAGTTTGTACCTATACGGCGTACCTATATGTTAGATAGTATGATATTCTCTTTAGTACTCATTTTTCGTTTACCAGGTTATTTTCGTGTAACGTTTTGATTATTTTGAATTAATAGTGCGAATAGAAGTGATTTAAAATAATAATAAAAAAAACCTCAAATTGCATACGGTGGATATTTGTACAATATTCGAAAAGAATGCAAAGTGATTCGTTTGAGGATATTATGATTATATTTAATTATGGAAATCAAAATAAACAAGAATAATGTATTTAGTTGATACAGGACTTTTTTTACCGTATTTTAATGGTAGGTCTTTTTTTGAGGGGGCTCTTTTTTCTTAGATTCATTATTTTTATTTTATTAATAGGAATTTGATGTTTAAATTAGATGAGAATACATAGGATAACGTATATTTATTTCAATTATAACTACAACCGCATACTATAAAATACATACTATTAGTAGGTATTAATTGTAGCTAAATTATATTAGGTAGATACCTACTTATACTAATGTTATTATTTATTATTATTATCGACTATATTCATATCAATAACTTTGTAAATTGCAGCTCTCCACAACGACCTAAAAATTCAAACTGTTAACAAACTTGCTAAAAGCCAATATTCAAATTTCCACTCCAAATTAACTAACCACTCAAACCCTCTTATTAAAAACATGTCCACTCTCACATTACCACAAATTCCCCGTCGATTAAAAAGATACTAGCTGGTCTAAAGACTCCTAAAATAGAGAAAAAAAAGTTAAAAATTAAACAATAAAAAAAAAATAAGAAGTCTTCTGAGGTTCTGTTAATGAATGGTCTCCTCTTCATGTTATTCATGTCTTTGTAAATATTTTGTTATCCTTATTACTTATTGTTTGTTATTGTAAACAGATTGAATATATTTAAAATAAAAAAATAAAAACTTTGTAAATTACCTCGGGTTTCTGTGCATGGTACATACACATAAAAAAGTGCAATATTATAACAAACATAATATGTGTAAATTTGAAATTTGAATAAAGCATTAAGTTAATCAACTATGCAATTTACTATAAATATTTATATACATATAGGTACTGCTCATGACTAAATGCACCTATACCTATATAATATATATAACTACTGTATAGTATATAGAATATAGATATATAGGCAATAGGCATCTAGCATGATATTACCAATGTCCTATATAGTTGCCTACCTCGCGATCATGGCTCATAGGTACCTACATTCTAACATCCTACCCATATATAGTACATTAGTACCATTGAGTCTATATACCTACACAATATTAAAGTATACATACTTAATGGTATGGTAGTACCTATATGAGAATATGGCTCAGTGTGTACTAGTGTACTGCGTTAGGTGGGTAAACGGCTATACCTAACTACCTAAAGCTTAATAGTAAGTAGTAGGTAATAAAAGATATAAGCAACTAACAAGTCTATAACTTATTTAATTTTGACTATCAAAACAACTCGGGATCTAATATATTTTATATGCAACTCAAAGTTCCAAAAAAACAACACGGAACAATAAATAACATTGAACCAGTTGGCAGTCATACAAATAACTATAAGGGTCACACAAGACTCAACGATTAAACAATTGAAGAGACGAATATAAAAATCAAAATTAGCCACTTGTTGAAGATCTCATTGTTTTTAAGACTAAAATAATGACTATAAATATATGTTCTTTACGATTTACAAAAATTGTTAAGTATTTCGAACAATTTAACAGGTTTTAAATAATTTAATATTGATATTGGATAGTACAGTTTATAATTTTTTATATTATAATAGTATGGTATTTAAAATAATAATAATATATTTAAGTCAGTCGTTATTTTTTTTTTTAAACAATCAATATGAAAAAAACTCTACTCAGAACAGACCAACGTGGTTCGCGGGAACCTCCGGCTCCGCTTGCGCCGGCCGAAGCTGACCGTGGTAGTAGGGCCTGACGGTCGGAGTAAGAGGCCGGGCCGTTTGTTCCGGTTGACCACCACTGCCTTGAGCGGGTGCGGCGCCGTGGCGCCGTCGAGCGACTGCGACGTTCTGCGCATGTTCTGCGCGACCAGACTGATCAAGTAGCCACCGAACGCCAGGAACGACAGGACGGTAAGGGACATCTGAAAGGCTGTCTGCATCGAACTGCCCGCCGCCGACGAGTGCAGAACATCCGCGGTCCTCCGCAAGGCCATAGCGTTCGGTGCGTCCTCTTCCGCCGTAGCCGCCGCCGCCTCCTCATCGTCTGTCCGTCGAATAGAATGTTCATCTGATAGACAAAATTACATAAATTGTATGTCATGCTACTGTTATAACTTATATTTAAATACACTCAGAGAGTAAACCGAATTAGGTTTCGGGAGTGGGAGGGGTGACACCCCACCACTCTGCAACAATAATATTAGACTTTGAAGTTTTGGTCGGCTGCTGGTCGCTGGTACTCTGTAAATTTGTTCGTTATTTAGCGAAAATTAGGAATTTCTAATTCAACACCCTTTAGTTTTTTTTAGTTCTCTCCGGATCACATATTGTTTTGACATAAAAAATTTACTTGAGTGAAGTTTCCCCCTCCCCTAAACCATTTTGGCCATATTATATGTTAAGCGAAAAAAATAGGTTACGTAGTAGGTATAGGTGCTAGTATGTGCTACGGCTACCCATAAACGTATTGTAACAAGCTTCCCCAAATATTCAGCTAGGAAAGAATTTTAATTTATAAAATGCGCATCCGGTAACTGAGTCTGGGCCATTACTTAATTATTTGTATGCATTTCCTTATACTACTTGTTAGTTAAACATATTATGAGCATACCTATACATTGTCAGTTGATGCATGGTTTTACCTCATCCACCCGAGTAACCAATAGCAACCATGCATAAAAATTAAAAATATAATATATTTTACAAAAAAAATACTTATCTTCTACTAGGGTATGTAGCTAATAGGTATGCTACGCCGCCATTTTACGACTCATTTATCACTGTGCATATAAAATTCCCTGAGTTTATTTTATCATTTTTATATTGATAAATGAGTAGCAAAATGGTGGTCTAAAATATAAAATAGTCTCTTTAACACAAAAATAAAAAATAAAAACATACGCATCATTCTAAAATCAATAGATTTTTCATCGGAGCGCTCATAATCAGAATCTAAAATAAACAATCATAAAATAAGTAGTATTGTCTCCTATTTAATATTTATACAAAAATTGAAATTTTTTAAATACGATTCAGCGTTGATCTAAACATTTGTTTCGATTTTATTAGTCAATCAATTAATAGGTATATTAATTATTTATAATTTAAGTACTTAACATATTTCTTACCTTTTATCCGAAGTTCTTTTTTCATTTCTAGCAGTTTTTCTAACGGCAATGCTTCTAAATCCATACTTGCTTTGCTCCAATAATGTGGTTTTTTTTCTTCGTGCCCGTTTAAATAACATATCAGCGAAAAACTTAATCCTATCAATAAAGTATTCATTGTTAACTTGTATATACATACACTAATGATGTATTTATAATATGTTGCTTCAAGTCCTCACTGTTAAGGAATGATGCCTTACTATTATAGTTATACTTTATCGTTTACTTGATGTACCTACATAATCAGGGTCTAGTATTTTAATTGCATCGTTTCGCACCAAATGGCGAACACATTTGTGTCACCTAAAGTGACAGTGCAATGCGGCGCATGCGAGTATGGTGTGACCTAATGGTCTAATTGTATTATTAATGAATACATCTACATACAAATATAATAGGAAGATTTAGATAATTATATAGACAAGTGTAATAGCATAATAAGTATTTAAATCTTTCTTTTTACACTCATTCACAAAATAGCGTAAGTTTATAATTTTATAATTATCATATCGAGCATATAATAGCCTGTAGTATATAATATGTTACGGATAGAGTACAAAAATCGAGTTATGTACCTATATGATGGCTATTGCCTATTGGATAAAGTACAAATATCATTTGCATAAAGTTTATTTTGAACATTAACCGTTTAATTTTTACATTATTTATACCTTTGGGTGGATAGTGTCACGATTCAGCAAAATACGATACAGTAATATAATGTTAAAGTATACGTTATGATAAAACGTGTATACTATATTCTATAATTTTAAGCTTCAGTGCAGTTTTCTTGTTAACTTGTTCAACGTATATTAAAGTTCTATTATTTTATTTATTAAAATATGTTTTCACTAAGAGACATTTTACGAATTGCAATAAATAAATTAATAAAAAGAATGAGAATTCAGTGTATTTAAAGGAATTAAAATACAATGACATATTATTATCAAATATTTAAAACTTGAACCTCACCGGGAAAAACAAATAAATCATACAGATTATCAAAGAAATACAACGATATCACGTATTAGTCTTAATATTGGTGGAGAGGAAAAATTAATATTTTCAATGTCAGAAGGTAGTAGAAATATTTTATATTACTCTATAAACCATTGGCCCCGAACACGTTCTTCAAGTAGTTAAAATAAAATAATAGAGTAAATACATTTACAAATTTACATGTACCTATATAGAGTATAGGCAAAAGTGTATAATAAACATTTTAAATGACTCTTGATCAGACACCCATTTATGTCGAGATTATAATTGTATTTAATTTAAGTCTGCCAGTGGTTTATTTAAAAAAATATATTTCTATTCCAATTTTATGCATATAATAATTGCAATACGAAAGTTCAAGTTTAATTGTAGGTAGTTGTTTCATTCACGACTAGAAACATAGTAATTAGTATTTTAGTACATAAAGGTGTATTCACTCATATTAAACTTAAATAGGCTCTAAGAAAATATTTAAAAGTGTCTACTGTCTATACATCTTACCCTAATAATTTACACAGCACATACTGTGGGCCACCATCAATTGGTCAATATTTATTCGGTATTTTAAATTTTATATTATGGGGCAATTCCAAATAGCCCATACATGAATAGTGGGTAATCCACGACTATATAATCACTATAATAAGTAACTACTGTATCACTATAACAACTATTGTAGTATTGTCTATTATAAATTATATCACAACCAATGCACTTCAGAAATAAAGTCTGCAGACTATAAACAACAAAATATTATGTATAAATGCCCAAGATTATATATAGTCTGGTATAAAATGAAATTGATTTTTATTTTAACAGCTGCATCCAAATGTTCTGGCGTCAAACACGAATCTCATAGCATGAAAACTGACACTTTGTATTTTACGTTTACGTGGCGTAAACATTGTTAAAACAATTAAACCACAACGGTCGTAAATTAGGTTTTTAAGACACCAGTGAACAATATTGAACTGTTACGTTATTAATTATCTTCCCCTTCTACAATCACCCCTTTGTAAGACAAAAATAAAAAATGTAAATTGTGAATTGTGAATTTAAACATTCAGTACACAAAATGGATCGCCGTCAGTCACAAGCATGTCTGAAAGTGACGGACACATTGAATTTCGGTATCGATAGGATACTGAATACTAACACTGACTCGGGTAAATATTAAATGTACTTAATATACTTTTATTGATATTACAAGAAAGGTTTAAATTCTAAATATATATTCATAGACTTGATTCGTTAAATTGAGTGTCTGTGTTATCGCCCATCATTTATACATTAGATTAGGTACTCCAGATCTAAAAGTGAAATAATCGAAATTCGAAATTTGTGTTGGAATTGTAACGAAATAATGACAAAAATAAATAAACAGCGGATAAAATAAATAAATATTAATTGTGAATTAAAGTGTAAACAATGTACATATTCGTTCAAAATAATAATAAGTTACAACCTTTCCTTACCTAATATATGTATTAATGTGTACTTTATAAATACATATTAATTATTATTTTATTGTGTGTTATATTATACAGGCGCGGATCTAGAACGTATTTACGGGGGGGGGGGGATCTTAAATAAAATTTCAGCCTATAAGTCTGATAAAAATGCAAGTAATGCAAGTCCATTTAAGCGTGAGTCTACGGGGGGGGGGCATGGCCCCTTGGCCCCCCCCCCTTGGATCCGCGCCTGATATTATATGTATCATGTATGTACAATATTAATTAATACAAATTAAGTTAAAACGCAGGGTTCAGAATTTAGTTTCAAATGCACTCAACTATTAAACATTTTTGAAATCTTTAAACTACTAGTATGACATGTGTTTATATTTTGTATAATATTATGTATACTTAAAAGCATAACATAACTTAAATTAACCATACATATAATATAATCTGTGATTGAGCATTCGCAGGCATTATAGGAATTGGTACCTATAACATATACTCACGTATTAATATTGTATACTAGATCGATCGATGAATAAAAAAGAAAAGTGTACCGGTAGAGCTGTGTTCACGGTCACTCAAAAGAATTGGTTAGAATATTATTTCCAAATGGAAAAATACATTACCAAACAAAACAGAAAAATATTGGCTTCCAGTCTTGGACTTACGGACTTGCAGGTCAGTTGATATTATTATAATGATATCTCGCACCATTAGCATTAGCAAGTTGTAATCATATATTTAATACTGTCGTTATTTATAGGTAAAAGTATGGTTTCAGAATAGAAGGATGAAATGGCGGCATACCACAGCTGCAACGTCTTTAAATAAATAGAATTCAAACAATTTGTATTAATTTTCATTTAATAGTAAAAAATTACAAGTATATATACCATGTGGCATGTATGATAGTATGTACTATACCTAAGTCATTATTCATTAATAAATAATAATACATTTTATACACAATATTTTTTTTTATAATTTAGTGCAAGATATAATATTATACTGGTACTTAATTACTAATCACTGCGAGTGGCCTTCTAAAAATATACTACCAATTATAATTCGTCCTTATTATCTAATTTTGATCAAAAATGAAATGATGACATTATACTGCAATCGTATTCAAAAATATTATACAAATATTTACCAAAATATATGTTGTATATTATACTTTCATAACAATACGCTAGCGTTAAGTGTACGTATTATGACACGTGTCAATAATATAATATTATGCCGATGATGGTAAATATAATATACTGACGGAAATTAAGAATAACGTATAGGTACATGTGTTTGAAAAAAAACAACAAACCTTATCATGGCCAGGAACTTATACATTAATAAATATTGTAATATTACCAACTAAGTGTATATAATAATTATCATCGTGGATGACGTTTTATTTCTTTATCGAATTCTGAAAGTCGTTGCCAAACTGTTTTTCGAGAACGTACGACGGCGATGGCACCCTGTACCCGAACGGTAGAATGTCGAGACTCTGGACATGGGCCTTGACCACGGCACCGGTCGGGAACCCACCGAAAGTGTTCGAAACGCCTTCGTCTTTGGGCTTCTGGTAGTCAGTGCCACCGTACTGTCCGTACTTGTCGTCCACCACTATCGGCCGAGACGGTTGGCCATACGACGTATCCGGCGGTCCAATCGGCCTGCCGGTGGACGACTGCTGCTGCAGCAGGTTGTACCCTCCGGTTGTCGACTGGCCGTAAGACGACGTCGTGTCCACTGGCCCCGCGTGGTAGCCCTTCTTCGGTGGGTTTCGTTTGTCGAACTTGTCGAACGACTGGAAGAACGATTCTTCGTCCTTGTTCTTGTACGTGGTGGGCCACTTTTTGGGTGGCAGAGAGGGGTCGTCTTCCGGGAACGCCGAACCAAGAGGCAGCGTGCTGTCTGGTGACAGGAATTCGTCGGACAGGCCACCACCTCCGCCATTGCCACCGAAGCCTTTGACAGGTGGCTCGGGGCGCCGGCGGTCCGGGAGCGGTGCAGACGTGCTGGCCGAAGGCCCGAACAGGTCCTGCGGCTCGAACGCGATCGGTGACAGCGGCGTGGACGACGGCGACGATATCAACTGCAACGGGGGCAACACAGACGACGGCACAGGTACCACCAGGCCACCACCACCGACGCCACCGACGCCACCTACCACCACACTGCTGCCCGGGAGCGACGGCGCAGCGGCCGCGCCACCGGCCGCAGCGTTGTTGACAATTCGATACCCGATGTTGGGCCCTGCCACGTACTGCACCGTCCGCTGCACGCCCTTGTCGTCCACATAAGTGTACGAGCCCTGCACGCGGCCACTCGAATCGCTCACCTCGGACCGCCGCTGGTCCGGCCCGGACGCAGTGAACCCGTACGAGCCATCCTTGCCTAGCACGACAGACGAGTGGCCACGCGGCCGGCCGCCGGGCTTGCCGGGTGGGCCATTGTAGAACACACCACCGTAGGTGTCCGAGTCTGGGTGGGGCGACTTGACGTGGAAACCGGTACCGGCGCCTGCCTCGTACTGAACGTCGTGTCTCTTGCCTAAAAAAAAAGTCTCTAATTAAATAATAATTGGATCACACGATTCCCAAAGGTTATAGTAAAAAGTCTAAGTACACAATGTAAACAAAATTGAGCATACTGTTATAAATCAGGTCCAAAAATATCAATATACTATGAAGTACCTGTACGGCTTTACAAATACGGCTGCACTTACTGACGGTGATCACAATATATTATTTTAATACATGCCTATATATTATGACTATAATATCAAACACCAAGACCAACTATGGTTCATGTCAAGAATCTCGACAAAATATTTACAAAATACGAACACATTAAATCTGGTTTTCATTCTAAACTTTTTTAAATTTACTGAAATACTACTACCGCATTTTAAACAGCTGATCTGCATTTTAATTTAAATATATTAAGTATTATAGTATAGATTATTAGAATCTTCGCATTTTAATTGTATTACATAATATATTCAACAGTGGATTGAATAAATATGTGTTCTGTTAATAACTAATTTTTAATTTTTTTTAATAACAATATGAAACACATTTTTACACAATGAAATACTGAATACATACAATAACTTGATACATCATAATTTGCATAATATGTACTGGAAAGGACGGTTGGCGGTTAAACAAAACAAAAATCGTGAGGAGAACCAATTAACGTTGCTGACGGAAAGCGACGGACATAAATACAAAACCAAAAAAAAAAAAATTGGGCGAAGTCAATGGGTCCGCTAAGTCGAACGAGCGGGCGCGCTTTGCACAACTCGGACCGCGTATAACACATCTACACAGTACACGAATATCGTGGACAATAGCGGAGACCATATTATTATATTTGATGTTGTAGAGTTGTCAACTCAAAATGCCACTTTTGGCTAACCGTACATACAAACGAATAATTATTGAACCATATATTGAGATGTAAGAATATTACAATCGTCATTTTAAATGCACATATGTAATGTGTTTGGAAATTAATTAGCCATGTACCTATTTTATTTTCAATGTTCAACAATATTATAATTTATAATATTATACATTTATACTTGGTTGTTATGGATATGTACATTCGTCTGAATGTTTATTCATACGTCTTATGACAAATTTTGTTTCAGTCTACTTCGAGGCATTACTCAAACTATTTTTTGTCTCATAAATTATTTAAATAATTTAACTCAATTATAATATCTTGAAATTCAATTTCTGAATTTTTAAACAAAACAATGGAAAGTTTTACAGAAGCAGACCATATTACAACGCCAGAACAACTGGATGTTCCGGCTGTTGGGAGTTTGCGGCAATGCGACCATAGCACCCGCCATAGCGGATGCCGTTATTTGTCGGAAGACAACGAACACAGGGTGTCAGGGTGGACGACCCTACACTGGCCACGAGGTCTACAATCGTGCAGTGTGCTATCAGTGAGCTCAGTGGTCAACAACCAACAACGACGTTGACTTCGGCAGATTTCAAAGTGTTGGACGAGGTGACCGAGGACTTACTGAAGGCCGCCGTTCAGAGGTCATTGAATTTACCACCCTTCTCCCTGGGTCCGAGTGACGAGCGGTCGTCGTCTGTTTCACTCGGTGATAGCAGTATTGCATCACCACAAACGAAGGCACCGAGGATTTTTGTACCGAGCGTCTTGGACAAGTTGCTGGACAAGTTTGACGAAGTAGCGTCAGAAATCCGAAAGGTTAACACAAAGTACGCTAATCACCTTCCGCCGTTACCACGGTGTTTCAGCCCAGAAGTTGAACACTTGGCACCGATAGCACGGCATTCTGAAGACGGTGATTGTGTGGCACCTAGTCTTCTGGCCAATAACGTGCGACGAACAACAACGGCGAACAACCAGCTGCCGTCAGACATCCTAGAGGTCAAGAGCCTGAGTCAGTCAGAAGAAATTGAGGAGGCAGTTCAAAGCACGGATATAGACGAAGCAAAAAGTAACGGTGACGTGCTCAAACCTTCAGTGACCACGGCCACGGTAAAGTCAGCAGCAGCAGCAAAACAACCGCTGCAAGGTCGCCTCCGTAGGCCGTCCATTATGTCAGCACTAGGGAGCCGACTCCACAAGGTCGGCAGATTGTTGGTATGCTGTTGTTGTCGTCCGAATAATAATGATTAGAATGGTATTATACTCTGATACCGCGATGTGGCGTGACGCCGTTAAACGATTGAGAGATGCATTGATCCAGGATGTTTTTGGGCACCGTCTTGCCGCCATTCGCACACGTCGCTGCGGGCATCGAACAGTCGTGAACTTCGACCCAGTCCACTCCAGCCCTCTACAAACCAGTGTGACCCTCGATAGCCGCCTTAAGTCACATCCGGTCATCCGGTTTTTCAAGCACCCTTGTGCCTCGTCACATTTTTTTTTTACTTTTTTCTTTTAGTTTTGTACCGACACCCGTCATTTTCCGCCGGCAACCTTTTAATTGGCCCTCGCGATTTTTGTTTTTTTTTGTTTTCCCTCTAACCATTTCTGCGGGTACCTATGTATATTAAATTAAACATATATATACATATATATATGTATATATATTTTATATTATAATACTATTATTTTTTTTAAATATTTTTTTGTATATTATATAACATACATTTATTACCATGTATTCAGTTTTTCTTAGTGTAAAAATATGTTTCTTACTGTTAATTTGAAAAATAAAAATTTGTTATTTACAGAACACTTGTTTTTTCAATTGACTGGTGTATGTATTATATAAAACAATTAAAATACGACGATTCTAATAATCTATTATTTAATACCTAAAATATTTCATTAAAATACGATAGCAGAATTGTAGTAAATTTAAAAAAAATGTAGAATGTAAACAAAATTTAATAATGTGCTCATATTTTGTTGATATTTTTGACATGAACCATTATAGTATTAGTTTTGATAAGAGTGTTAATTTATAAGCGTTTGATATTGTAGTCATAACTATAGGTATATATCAGGGATGGCAAATCCGTGGCACGCAAGCCCGAAATGGCATGCCGAAATTTTTACTATTATATATTATAGGACCTTTTTTCCTGTTTAAAATCGATCCATTGCATAAAAGTATATACCTATACTATAAAATATACTCTATACGACCACTGAATATTAATGAAATCACGGTTTCGAAGTCTGAGGTGCAAGGATAAAATGTATTTTGTTATTTTTACACAGATATCTATATTTTTGAGTTCTGTTAGTACTTTTATTTTTAACCGACTTTTGTAAAGCTTTATTTATTGCCATAGAAACACAAAACAACAAATAAAAAATAGTGTAATTAAATTCCTAATAAAATTTAACATACCTAGTACCTATACTACTAGATATTTTTCCACTGCACTATACCCAAAAACATATTATAATACAACATATATTATGATTCCTAAATTTTCATTGCAGAAGAAAAATACCTATTAGTGTGCTACTGTGCTACTTAATTAAAGAAATTAAACACATTTTCTATTTTCTATTTTCATTAACATGTGCGTGGTCTTACGAGAGCGCTCTGCTATTTTTTTTTTACACACAGTCACACACACTTATAATAACAGTCTGAACTTATAAGTTATTACACACACATTTACGAAATCACTCAAAAAATTTCCTAATTCAAACTTCTTAAAAACGGTTGGTAAACCCTATTTTTACACTTTATTTCAACTAGGTTGAAGGCGTGCTTAACAATGTATTTTAATAATATTATAAAACGTTATTATTTTTATACAAGTACTTACCTATGGTAGATATTATACCTACGCTAATTATTTAAGGCATATGCTTACCGACATCGTCCAAGTAAGAGTATACGCCTTCGACGTGGCCCCTGGAATCGGCGGTTTCGGATTTCGATTGTGTGGGCGTCCGGACTGTGAACTTGTAGCTCGGGTCTTCGTTTGGGTCGTAGTATCGGTCGTAGGCCGGGTCGTATTTGGACGAGTCGGTGGGCACGGGTGGGTTGTAGGGCAGGCGGACTTGCGACAGGTCTGTCTGTCTGGCAATGTCCGGTCCACGGGCACGGAAACCGCGGGGCCCGGACGAATACGATGTCTGCACGATTCGACCGGTTTCGGGACTCCTGGAGCCAAACCTGCGAGTGTAATCAAATAATCATGACATGAGTACGCTCACAAATGCATAGCTGTGTTATTTTTGGATATTAAATTATACTACATTAAGTAAGTATGTATTTTAAGCAACAGTGAGTGGCGATCGTCTGTGATTATATAATATAATATGCACCTCAACCTTACAAAACCATAAAAACTATAATACTGCTATATGTAATTTTTGCATTTTAATTACAAGAGTCGGCACGGTTTCGTGTATCGACCCATTAGACAAAGGTGTACATAATTTTAATTTATAATAATTCATATTTATAATTTAAAATTCAAATGTGTCAGAATACACACACATATTGTAGAGGTGAGTACTAAGTACCTTCCGGACACGACGTTGTCCTTATTGGCGGCAGCCGAGTGGAACTGGTTCCTGTCCGCGTACCGGAACGCGTATGATCCGTCCAACGACCTGTCCGTGAAGTCACCTTCTGTGGGCGCCTGCCGTTTATCCACTGCCCCCCGACGCACCATGCTGTCCGCCGACTCCATCATCGACATCACCGTCACCGACATCACCGCCAACGTCCACCGGATCCATAGTGCCATAACAACTGAACTGAAAAATTAAAAAATAGTGTCATCATTACAGCGTATTTCTAAGATGTGTCAATATTATGCGTATTAATCGTTAATGTCTGAAAACGAATTTCTTAGACGTAATAATATTTCATGAAGGCTCAATATTTATATTTTTTTTCCGGCGTTGCCATATTTAATAGTATTGTTATTAAACTGTTAAGCACGATATTTGGTACTCGTCCAGATAAATAAAGAAAAGCTACTTTGAAATACATATAAAATGATCTAGGAAAGTGGTCATTAACTGGATCAACTATTAAGTAGTTTTTGGACTTCAGTTCTTAAGTCATGAAAATGTCTAAAGGGGCGGATGTAAACTCCATCACAAGTACCTGTTTTTAGTGTAAACTCCGCCAATAAAAAAATAGGTAAAATTGGGTTCATGTAAACTCCACCAGTGAAAAAAAATCAAGTATAATTAAGTTCATGTAAACTTTGTCAGTGAAGAAAATCAAGTCACAGTATAAAATTAATATAAAGGACATATTGGCTAATGCTAAGCAGGAATTTATGTATAATATGTAACATAATACAACTATATTATTATTCACTTAAGTCATATTTTTTATAATATTATGTAATCATTATAATTTATGACTGTGGTCAATGTCTCTATGACTTTTCAATCGTATTCCTTTTTGGGGTGAACGGTGAGTTTTTTGTAAATTTTAAATGTCCGATTCCCCGTACATCAGACTGGCCGTATTATTTAAGTTTAAATAAATACACTCGCCAGAAACAGACCAGATCTAGGCAAATCATTAATTGATAAATATGCCCTGAACATTGTATGATAAAAACTACAATAGACACTTTATAATCAATTCGAGAGGTCGGACGTCGTACCCACAAGTGTAAATACTAAATACTAAATATCTAATTGTGTGTTTACAGTTTTAAAATACCCATAAATACCGACTTCAAAATTAAATAATATCAAATGAAACCTATCCAAGTAGTCCTGGACAGTGGACGATATTATTACCGTTTGACAGTCAATTTGATCAATTCACTCAAAAAGTCGAATAATATCAAAAATAACAGATTAAAATGGGTTCTTCTTGACGCAGAATTTGCTGTGGACTGAGCGTCGTAAGACGGAGCAAGACACGTGAGAAGAGGACCATGTCCTCTTAAAAATGTTTCCAAAGTTATAAATCTGACGATAAAATCGCGGTCAACTCTTTAATGCTCACATAATGCGATCGACTACATGCACCTATTATATACGTCTCGTCGTGCGTGTGTCGTCGCTACTCTGCGCAATTGCTCACCTCGCGTAACGGTCGTCCGCAGACGGAGGTGACGTATCATTATCATATTATAATATTATCATGTATTACCCCAATGAACGTATATAATATTTATCTATACATTATACGTAGTAGTATACTATTGATGATATACGTGGTTTTCGTCCAGAAAATAATGTATAATTAAGTATGTACACGGTTATTTTCCGGTTAGATTCGCATCGTAACAATAATTATATTACGGATGACATCGAATTTTGAACACAGCAAATTTTGTATACATCTATAGCCTAAATTCTAATGAAACAGATAATAAAATATTAAAATATACACCAGAATCCCGTTTTTATATTTTATCGTCTATACTAGAGGTGATTCAACCTCACCGACACTTATCATCCAGCATAAAACACTAATTGCTCAATCAAATATTACTCTTACTTCTTACAAACTTTTAAGTCGTTACAAATAAACAGTGCGGTGTTTGTACGGGGACAAACGCAGTGATAAAACCTGGGTGTATATGATAATGATATTATGCAGTTTCAATGAGTATAATACAACAATAATAGTAACAACAACTTATTATTATATTATATTCCAGACAGAGTACGAAAAACGTATCACATGGATCGCCGCAATGATGACGGTCATTGACTATTCACTCGTACATATTAATAAATTATTATATTATACAATATATGTACTACGTACGGCCCTACGGGGTTTAAAGTGGGTAAACATTTTAGAAGGGACTAATATGCCTCCATATAGTTTCAAGCGTACCATATATAATTTTATGTATAATGTCTAATGCATAAAATCTTAATTTGTTAAAGGGGACGCTTTTTAACTGCCGTTAGAGGTAGGGGGACTGAGTCTTCCTGCTTACCCCCCACTTTAACCTCTAAGTATGTACCTATTATAAATGTATGTATGTATGTATGTATGTATGTATGTATGTATGTATGTAAGGCTTATGCACAGTGGCGTAGCGAGAAACTTAGTGGTCCTAGGGCCATAAGAGACAGAGTCCCCCTCTTTAACATAGAAATTCAATTATAATAAAAAAATTAATTAATAATCCAAACAGTCCGATTATTTGTCGGAGTTAAATAGAGTTATAGATTATGGTAAACAGGTTGAAGTTTTTGACGGCCGGTCAGTTCGCCCAGTTCGCAGGCCCCGGCGTATTTACAGCGTCAAGAGAAACATGGTAACCGGCCGGAAAACCCAGATCGTCTATTTAGAACCCTAAATAGTTATTCTAGGAACTAATACTAGTTATTATAAGGATTGCAAGGAGACGACGACGACGTATAAAGTACAAATTACAATATTTTCATCAATAGGTTATAAAGCTGCAAAGTCTAAGAAATAATATTCTTAGAATAGCTGTGATAAATTACTCAGCACAAGTTATGATAATTTGTGCTGAATTACTCAGAACAATTATGATAATTTATTTGTATAGCTATAAAGAAGTCAATTTCTTATATAATTAGATAATATATAAGATAATAAACACCACATTTTTTTTTTGTATTTCAAATCAAATTATTTTCAACATTGATATCATTTAAATGTTAAAAAAAATGTTCAGTATTTTTTTATTGTAATGATAAAGGACTTGTGCCCCCCAACTTGGACATACCTTGAGGGCCCAGGGCCTAGGCCCAGGTGGCCCCGGGTTAAATAAGTTATGCATATATTTATATGTAATTGATCCGTAATCAGTATATTATAATAAAATATTAACACCTAGACAATTATATATGCTTTACATGATTTGGACAGCCATCTGAAACGAATCTGACCTAGACAAATCTGCGATTAATAAATAATATAATATCATACTATATACTATTATATTGTATACGACAATGTAAAACAATAATGTATTTAAATTTGAATAAGAAAGCATATACATTTTGAAGATAAGAATTAAAATTTGTACCGTTTGTTTTAAGATAAAAAATGACTGATAACTCTCTATGTCAAAAACATCACCTTCTAGTTTCCAACGCTGCATAAAATATAAATATTAATAATTTTTAATAAAAATGTAATCGTTTGAGACGGCGCATTGTGCATGCAATATAGCAGCATCAAAGTGTTGTTGACATTGATAATTGCATGTTATTATATTATTTAATCCAGCAATAATTATACCTATGAGAAAATTTAAGAGAATATGATATGTACAAGGATATATTTTATTTGGGAATTATTCTAATTATTATAAAATAATACATATTATGTGACTTGCATCATTTTCTGTGAAAATAATTTTTTATTCTTTAACTAAAATATTATAATAATATTAATGAGAAAAAAAAGTTTTTTTAATTCTTCACGCCTTCCCATGAAAACCAAATATAAAAATAAATTTATTTATATTTGTGTATACCTATAAACTACAAAATATGCGTACAAAGAACAAAATGACGAATATTAATAAAGCCATATTTTTTTTCTAACTAATTTCTTAGTTTTAAAATGACAAAAATTAATATTAGTCTTTTATAATATCAAGTTAAGTGGGACAGTTATAAATATAAAATGTAAGTTTTGAACATTTTCTAAAATGATGGCTTTTTGGATAGTTTATATTCTGTTCTCTTTGATGTATCATTGAGTTGCACATTGGTTTGTATTATGAATAATAAAATAAAGTAATACGCCTACATTAAATTATTTGAATAATTTAGTTATGATAAAATCATACCAAAGACATAATAATATTATAATAATTATTGATTCATCGTTTCTACTGATGGATTGGAAAATATACTAGAATTATTATTTATTTGTTTGATTACAGGAGATATTTCTGTATTTAAAATTTTAACTGTCATCAAAAAATAATGTATATTATTGGGGATCCAAATTATCTTGCAACAATATTGTAGAGGAAAGCAATAATAAATCACCACATGAAGCAATTAATACAAACTTCCTATTAGATAATCGCTCTAAACTCTAAAGTTAATACATGCATGAATAATATAGAAATCTCAGAAAATTATTCTGCATCAAAAATGTATACAAATTGTCATTGAAAAAAAAACTTACCTGACTTAATTTTTAAAATCTTAAATGTTGTTAAAACGTATTTATTATTTTTATTTTTTATATAATAACTTTATAAACACCTTCTCACAAGTTATACAATTTAAAATTTAACTGTGATTATAATAGTTCACGTGCTATAAATAATTATGATTTGTGTATTAATGTTGTGCCTTTATTAATTATTATAGGTGATAAAATACATAAGGTTAGATACTCACAGAAATACTGAAATCCCGAAGAAAAATGTGTCTACGTATTACTTTCAAAGTATTTCTAGACGATTCGGAGGTTTTGCCTGGTACGCTGACTTATTTCGAATGCCGCCAAAACAAGTGGTCGGCGGTCTTTTCGTTCTATGCAGAATCGACGTATATGTTTAAGGTCTTGCCCATTACACCGTGAAGATGCTAAAAAGATTCCACTGACGTCACGGTCAACAGGTGCCATTGGTATATTGTTAATTTCAGTTTTTATATTCGAAATATTTGCAAACAAAAATCACTTTGTTATCCATTGTTAAACTCACGGAATTCTAATTTATCCCATTGTATACATAAATATAGGTACTATAATATATTATATAAATAGAGTGCTTTAATTTTTGACCTGAATTAACATTGCGAAATCGTTTAAATAGTTAATTGTTTGTTGAATTATGACTTATGAGTATATATATATAAAGAATAATGATTAAAATGAATGCAGCATACAATTTACATATTTGTAGGAACATAATATTATAGTGTTGTTTAATAATTGTATGTACAAATCTCAAATGCAATGTAATAAATGCAATACATTTCGTAGTAAAAATAATTTTGGTGTGGATTTGTTATATATACCTTATAATATGTTTAGAAAATATTAAGATCGATGAGGTAATAGTATAAAACTATAATACATTTTAGTAATAAGAGTCGCTAGCAGTTTCTTTTTTTTATGTGTTGCCCATTCAAAACTGAAACACCGCCACAATTTAAATTAGTTGTAATTGGGAATTAGATATTTTAAGTTGAGTCAGTTGTATCATCACTGTCTTGAAAGTATATAATTCATACATATTTTATACAGGTATTTATTAAACCTTTAGTATTATAATTTACAAATTAATACTAGTCAGTGGCATGTAACATAGGGGTACATAGTTAGTAAGCTTAGTAACGTAGTTACTATCAGGCAACATCTAAAGTTGGGTCGTGGCCAATAATGCGAAACAATTAATGAACATCTATTCTTAGTAGTTTTGTAGAACACTAGGGCGAAAACCTAATCTACTAAATAAAATGCACTAAATAATATACAATTAAACATTATTTATCAGTATAACAATATTATAAGGGGTGATCTACTAATGGCATTATATTTGAGCAACACTAATTTGTTTTTATATACACAAATACATGTAGTATTATCATAAGCATGCGCTGTGTTTTTAAATAGGTGAGGCATAATAATATTATATTTAAGGCACTATATTATGTTATATTATCACTGTTAAGGAAGCGTTGTAATAGGGAGTTTTTTTTCGTGCGAGTGTATGAATTTACTAGGAACACGATTTAGGATAATAGTTTTAATTATAATTGATCATCTATTCTATATTTCTACGATAGTAACTCGTGTAAACGGTGTAAGTGAACTATATTTTCATCATTGTATTATTTTTTAAGATAATAATGAAAGTCACGATTTTCTTGTAGAAAAAAGCATAATTACGGAATGCCGATAAACCGAGGTTCTAAGATTTATTTACTGGAGGTACCCATGCACACGCTTATGTATTATGAGTATTATAGTTGCAGTTAGTATTTAGTAGTTCTATTGTTCAAATAATGAATTCAATGCCCAGTTAGTTAATAGTTATAACTCATGAACTTCACACATTTAATTGCATTAAATTAAAGCATTTAATGATTTATCTTCGTTTTGAATTGCTTATCTTTTACTATATACTATAGTTATAGTATAGTGTATTGAATTGTTTTGGTCTTACTCAATTTACATTTAATAGGTATACGTAGACAACATAATTTATTAAGCGTATATATTATTTCATAACTGAATAATGCACTAAGATGTTTTTATTGAATAAAACAATTAAATAGTTATCATGCTTATTAAATCACCTTGTATACAATAACTATGGGTTTGAATAACAGTTAACCGCTCATTACCATTACATCTAACTATCATACAATAACCGAATAATCACATTTTTTCAAAAATTCATTGTTTAGCTGATGTAACCAATTAAATTTCTAGAATTTTAATTGATTCAAGTCAGTCAGAAAGATTTTCAGAACCGGTTAATCTAGTACTTCTCTAGTGTACATTAAAATATAAGTATACACCAACTATACAAACTTACGATATGACAAATTTTAATGTGTCGCGTACTCAATATATAAGTATTGGATAACATAATATACACTTAACTATAATGATCTAATGTCGATTTCCTGATGGTTTTATTTAAAAGCGGTTTTAATAGGAGGGGTTTTGTCGGTAACAGTGCGGTGGTCAACGATTTGATTGAATGATTATGAGATGTAAATCGTGTGGTTTATGATCGTATATTTCCAGGATGTCTTCTAACCACTAAATAAGATAAACGACCTTAGAGATAATAATAATAAAAAGGTAACATAAAATAAAATTAATATTTTAACTTATATCTAAGTTCCCGTTATTTTATGTAATTTTATAAGATTAAGTAACAACAAACTTTGTATTCTATTTTACCAAAACAAGTTTTACTAACAATTTCACTAAGATTTATTTTTTTGGTAATTAACACAGCAATGACAATTAGTTTGAAATTAAATTAAATAAGACTATATATTAATTAATTACAATTATTTTAAAATAGTTGGTTATGTACAGTGGTGGAAATATTATAAAGTCAAAGAAAACTTTTTAAACTTGACGTTGGCTTAAGTTATTTGACTTATTTTCGACTCCACAGTTCTAAAATTAAAAAATTAAAAAAGGTATAAGTATCAATATAGTTTAAAAAATGTTGTTACTACGCACTTCTTCGATTTTTTCACTGACGCATTCAAACATTTCATATGCAAGATCACATGTTTGTCCATCATCTAAAATTTCAAAAATAAATAATACTCAAGTTACACACCGTGCAAGTGTTAAAGTTTCATCAATTTCTTAAAAAATGTATTATTTAATTTATTTTAAATCAATCTGGATTATTTGAGGGCTGCCATTCCAGTTACCTAATTATTTAAATATTTGATTACATTATTTTTAATTTTAAAAATTTCATAAATTATAATCAAAAACATCATGACGTATTGTTGTACCTAAATACGTTATCCACTGTTTATGTTTGACCAAAATGTAGTTTTAAATTCAAAAACATAAAAAAAAATATAACAAATAAAAGTTATTTTGTGACTAAAGAATATGACGTTTCAATGTGATTCTGTTACTTTCTCTAGTTTTGACATTCATAAAACATGTATAACACTTTTTATATAATTTATATACCGAATAACATATTAATTATTATGTATAATTATGTTCTAACTGTGGTTATACTGATTCGTGCATGTAATATTTTTATGATGTTTTTAGATTAATTTGATTTTTATGATTTTTTATAATATTATGGTATAGTATTTACCGAATGTATATTATTTTTAATATTCTTATAACAGCTAGGTACGTAGATTTTTATTGTATTTTAGAATTCTTTACTGTTTTTTTATTGCATTTGTAAAATTCTATAGGATAAGTTAATATTACTATAGTTTGGAAACTGAATAAGATTTTAATCATTATTCATGGTTTACCTTGTTTTATAAATTAATTAAATTGTATTTAATCCGTGTCGCGTGTATTATTTATACATTTAATTGTAATATATATATGTATAATGATGTAATAACTAATACTTATATTCGTGCACTATATAGGTATATTTCATGAATATTTTTACCGAAACTTTTGGAGGGCTGTAGCTGCTTTAGCTGTTGTGCGATAGAAATACAATGCCTAACTGCAGATAATGTAGCCATGTAGTAGTTTCTGTCCTGGACACCTTCATTGTACAGTTTCATCAACCCATCGACTACCGGAAAACCAGTTTCATCAACCTAAATTAATTACATCATAATAAATTGTATAATATTATGTAGATCAATTATCAGATGATTCATCCTGTTTCAGTTTAAGATGGACACAACAGATATGTATGTATAGTTACTGTACAAAAATATTCTACTCAACTGCTTTCACTTTCTTGTAGACGCACTGGAGCAAACACTGAAAACAATAATTACTATATTATAGAAGAGTCGTAATATTATTTATATGTTTATATGCAGAAAATATATGCAACGGGATATTTGTTTTATTATTGAATGACCAGACCATTCGGAACAGGTTTCAGTTATGCAACAAGTGAATGTTTTTTTTTTAATAGCTCACTTGCTCACTTATCACATTAAGTATACTATATTGCATGTACTGTGCACTAGTGTAAAGCGGCTTTTATAGTATTACTTATAAAAGTATAAACAAGTACGTATACAACATTTAACGGTTGCAATTTGCTTCCGGTTCTTTACTATTGGGTAATGTAATGAATTTCTAAATTTATTTTTATTTTTTATAAATATATATTTAATATTTAGGTATACGACTGTGGTGCACTGTTAGTTGAAAAAATTATTTGGTAGTACTTATAATGATAAAACTATCTAGAATTATAAGAATAATTTTTAAATGTATTACTTATTGAATTTAGCATATCTACACAAATCGAAAATAAAATATCTTTCCTATTATAAAATTATATTTATGTATTTTTTTACTTCATTTGAAGTTAATACTACAAAACAATTTTTTTTAAATAATAACTATGGTTAAATTTAAAATTTAAAACTTAAAATTTAATAAAAGCTATTTTCTTTACCACTTTTTGTCGTTATAATAATTTATAATTAGTGTCTTACTTTTTCGAATGAACGTATGACGACATACGTTTTAAATTTCATATTCTTAAGCGGATACTTGGTTTTTAGAGAAATTCTATGAAAATCAAATTTTGAACTAGGTAGTATAGTTAATTTGTTTTAATTTTTAAAGAATGATAGGAGAAGTAATCCAACATCTTTAGGATACCCCAGTGCCATACCACTCCGCTCATCTAAACTTGAAATACCTATTTAGTACTTAGCTAAGTTTTTTGAGAATTGTTGTTTGGTAACAACTTAAAATTGTATAAAAAAAAATAAATATTTTTAAAAACGTTAATACTTTTTGAGACAGTGAATGTTCACAGTTAAAGGAATCTTTATGTTATAACGTGTATGACATTTTTAATAGGTATCACAATTGAGTTAATAATGTTTGGCTTAATATAATAAAATGTAGGTAAGTAATAGTTTTAAATTGAAGGCATAAAGAACCATTAATGATTTATTAAATCTAAAAGTTAAAACTTAAGACTATAATAACAGGTATATTCTTATAGATATTTATTTACAAATATTTAAATTATAAATTATAATCTCTTTGAAGTACTAAGAATAAATTGGTTATTGTAAAATAAAGTTAGAGATAAATTAATCATTACACTTTAAATGTATCTTATGATATAAATTAATTGACCAATAATGTACTTTCATCAGTGAGAATTAAAAACATTTACTAACAGTAATTTATTCGAGGGTTATATAGTTGATAGTATGGTTTAATTAAAAATAAAACAATGTAATTATCTCTTACCCCTGCAACTCTACGTTCCTCGTTTGTCAAATCTTCATCGGCCTCTCTTTTTGATCTACTGCTATAGCTTGGCGTATTTTGTTCCAAATTGCCATCATTGAGGATATCTAAGGCTTCTGTAAATTCATTTAAATTCAAAAACAGTTTAACTAACGAACATTATTGTGTAACTTTACCTTGAAGTAATGCGGATTTGATTTCTTCTTGGCAAATATTAATTATTATTTCAAGATTTAAAGGCGCCTTATCGGGAGCTCTACATTTTCCTGATGGCTTTGGAGAAATAAATATTTTTTAATTAATGAACGAAATTAATAGTGACATAAAGTATAATAAATAATTATGAAAATACTCACTTCTTGTTTTTGACAATAAATATCTTGTAATCCAATAACAAAAAGAAGGAAAACCGTCAAAGAATAATTTCCACGCATATTTAATTTATAATAGAGACACTACTTATGTATAATAGTATATATTATGTGTATTTAAAATTATTGCTTTTATAATTTCCTCTCGGAAAAAAATGAGCGACGTTTTTCGAGTTGTTGTTGTTATCAAATACGAAATTCAAATAAGACTTCTGGTACGCGCACACGACTACTTTCTTTGTAGCGAGTGCAAGCGTGAGTGGTTTTATATTAATTATGTCACTGGTCTGAGTGTACGTATGTAAGTGCGTTCATCATTATGAAAAACCGGTACCAGAAAATTCAAGCTAACCACAATCCATAACGAGATCATAGTGTATAGATATACTAACTGTGTATGTGTGCTAACCACAAATTCAGGTTATTTTTATTGGGTCATCATATTATACCATCTATCCACACGTGATTATATGCATATTTATTAGTTAATTATTAGTGACCATTAATGGGTAAAACATAAAAGAAAGGCCTGTTATGTTTTTAATTATTTAAAATTTAATAAAATGTATGATGACTAAAAACTTAAAACTCATCAAACATGCTAAGATTTTCACAAAATACTCATCACTAGGGCTCGGATTTATATGTATTTATTTAACCAAAGTATGTATTTATGCAACAAAAATATGTACATAAATATGTGCTAAAAAATGTATAATATGTATTATCAAAAAACAAAATTATGTACATAAATAAATTGTGCTAAAAAATTTATAATATGCGTATTATCAAAAAAAAAAAATATTATTATTAATTAAAATGAAATGTAATAAAAAAAAATATTCATCTAACTATCTAATTATTATGGTTACAATTAATAATGACATGCATTTTTAAATTTTCGAATTCGAAAGATCGCCGATTATGTCGTAAAATTGATTTATATCGACTGAAATATCTCTCAACTTCGACTGATGTTATAGGACAATATTGCATGTTGACTATGTCTGAAGGAGAAAGTTCTACAGTATTATTTTGTACTTTTTTAAACATGGGCAAGTCTGTATTAATAAATAATAAATCGTAAATGAACAAATTATCGAAATATGTAGGAAAAATGGAATTATTGAGAAATATGTAAAAACATATACTTATGGCAAAATATGTAAAAATATGTAAAATAAAATATAGTTCATTTTATTGGAAATCCCTTGAAACGAATTTATCACTTACCTAAATTAATTTATCAAGTCACAGTAAAAATATGTATTTACATATAAATCCGAGCCCTACTCATCACTTATACATGGATTTCAGAAAATCATTGCTCATACTCATAATATTTATGTACAGGTATAATACAGGTTAATTCACCAATCATGTTCCCCTCAATTTCCATTTTATAATGAATTTACAAAAATTCTGATTTCGGAATTTTTAATTATAGATATACCTACCTACTCAAACTTCAAAGACAATTTCTTCAAATTATTGCATTTTTTGTATTACTTAAGGAGGTGGAGATACAAACTTCTGTTTTTCAAGTGAGAATCCTTCTCCCCCAACTTCTTTACTGTAAATTATTTAGCGGATCATTTTTTTCGAAATTTTTGGTGTAAATAATTTAAAATTCAAACGAGTAGTTTTTTTAGTTATTAAAGATAATAGTTCTTAAAAATAGTTTTACATAAATATAAAATATATGTATACTGTTGGATACAGTAACTATTATACTCTGGCCATTATTACAAATTATTAATGTTTATAGATTAATATAATTCACAATAGCCACCATATATAACAAACCCAAAATAATCCTCAGTACCTACACAAATATAAATAACTCAAAAATAACTCGTTCGAATTTTGATTTTGATACATTTTTAAAAGGTATAAACCATTATATTATTTTAAAAGGGAAATACATATATTCAGCACACAAAGGAGGCACCTATGCCAAATTTAGAGAAAGAAAGCATTCTGAAAAATAATATGAGCTATAAATAATTATAATATGAGTTAATCCTTTACTTCCATTTCTGTAAGCAAACCAATTATTTTGTTGTAAAAAATCTATTTAAAGTTAGACGTTAATATAATATTTACTTAGTAAAATTACAAAAATAATATAATGTAACACTATTCAATCTAATAATAGTATTATGTATAATATAATATACAAGAAATTTTTAAATAATTGGGATTATTAAGTGAAATTATCATGTTGATGACTTATAGAATTGAATAGTTACGTATTTGGATGCAGGAATTTGAATTACCAGGTATCGTGGTATCAATCAAAAGAATTCCGTACCTACATAAATGCGAAATCTAAAACTCATCGATACGACGATACCATACGGTACAAGATTTTGTAAAACGTAATTATTGAAGTGGAAATAATTGGTAGTTGCAATATATTAAATATATTTTATTAGGTATATTTGTATTAAGTATTCACATAGGTATAATAAAATTCAAAACCGACAAATGTACTTGAATAAAAAACATTACTTTTCATGTAGGTAAATCAAATATTTAAATTGCTTGCATTCTTGATTTATTCCGAAATTAACCTATTGATATCATATTACGTTAAATAAAAATAAAATAAACTGAATAATATCAAAATAACGAAAGTAAAAGAACTAAAATCTAAGTAACGCAATAAAACGCATTTTTTTAACACAAACTTATATTTTGTTAGTTCCCAATTTCTTTATTTTTTCTATATCTTAACTATTTCCCCTAATTTGTTGCCTGAGTTGCTAATAATACTAAATATATTCAAGAGAACATTTCATTGGTTGATAGCTAGAAAATTAAAATCTTCTAGATTACAAAATCGTATATATTTATAATGTACCTACAATTAAAACATTGAAATACATCAAACTCTTTGAGTTTCCAGCATTATTATTCGAATTTTTTTTTTTTTAAATGTATATTTTTTACTTAACATTATATTAACAATTTAGATGGATTAATTTAAAATCCGCCTTATCGTTTAAATAGTTAGTAGGTATAAAAAAATACCTATCCAAAAGATAACTGATAATTTATTGTCCTGTAACAAAATTTAATATTAATATTAATTGATGACAACTTAGAAATTTCGATTAAATATTAAGTCATTCATGTTTAGTCATACCAATGATAATTGGACATTTTAACGTCACATGTACCTATGCCTACAAATATTTAGCAGTCTTTTAAAAAAATGCGTTATTAATAAAATACAACGCTTGTATATAATCAAATGTATGAAGATAATTTCTAATTTTATGCTAGATTAACAACATTGTGTAAATAGTATCATAACATTTATTGCAATTTTTATTTATTAACCATAATATACCTATATTTATTATTTATTTATGTATACAAATACAGACACTATTAGTGATAAAATATTTTAATTAATTATATTTTATCACGATAATTATTTTTTTTGCACTTCTTGTGGTTTAGCTGTTGAAAGATTAATAATAATAAAAATATCTTGAGGAAGAATATAAAAACTACCTTCTTCATAGATTTGAACTGTTAAGTCATTGCGACATTTATTGCTAACCATTGACTCGGCTGTTTAGTGTTTTGATAGTTTCCAATTACTTTTATTGCATTACATATACTAAAAATATGATTGCTATTTGCTAATTGTAATAGACAGTGTTATTTAAAAATGTAAAATTACGAGTATAATACTACATTCGTGTTTTTTCCCGAAGAATTACTGACACTACCGTAGATATTCTAAAAAAGGCAATGAAAATGATACATTATTTTCAATGAATAAAACATGTATTTATATACATGAAAAATTTTTTAGAATCGTTATTGTTGTTGAATAAGCCATTACAAATTATACTTGGCTAAGGGGGAGATTGTAAATTCCGCCCGAAATTAACAGGTAAAGACAAGGTCTTTGGTAAATTCCGCCCGGAAAAATATCCAAGTAAAAAAGGTACATGTAAATTCCGCCCTAAAAAATATACAGGTACAAAAATAGTTCCACCCGGAAAAATAAATATTTTTAAACTATGCGTTCCGTGACTGTACGACGCGACCGTACTTATCGCCAAGCGGCGCGTGTTATAACTTATATAGTATTGGGAAGTCACAAAATGTTCGAACATGAACAAAAAATAAATAGTATGGAAGTGATATTTTGACTCGTATTTATTATTATAATTATTACTATTTTAACAATTTTTAACAATTTTATATGCTATACTATATACATGACTTATAATAATATGTGCTAATTATTGATGATGATTTTATTTTGACTCGTATTTATTATTATAATTTTTACTATTTTACGATTTTTAATACTTTTATATATATTGTGCTAATTATTGATTATGATTTAATTTTACTATAATATTATGATTGTTATATTTACTTTTATAATTATTACTATTCTTACGATTATACATGTTTATGTTGTAATTATTGATTTAATATGTGAAATATATATTTATTTAAATACCCACTTCTAAATTATAATGTTTAATCTATGTTATGTCAGTAATAATATGATTAATAAGACACATTCAGAAATTTGTTTATTAACAGTAATACATTTTTTCGGGCGGAATTTACAGGTATGTTTCTTTGCCTGTATTTTTTTAGGGCGGAATTTACATGTACCTTATTTTATCTGTAGTTCATTTTGGGCGGAATTTACCATTTTCGGGAGGAATTTACATGGGCCCGGCTAAGGAATGAGAAACAGATTCAATCAAGCCAGATTTTATTTTATTAGATAATTTTTGTTAAAAAATGTTAGGTAATTAGTAATTACTGTTATGAAATATTGGAATCTCGCGTAGAAATGATAATTAAATAAAAATGTATTAATGATTTTCAGTATCAGAACTTATTCCAACAATTAAGAAAGTCTTACTGAATTAAATAAATAACTTGATTTATATTTTATAAAACCGACCATCAAACATTGATGAGTCATCACTTATCAAATACTATCATAGGTATTAAATTGGAGCTTTCACAATTAATACGTAAATACATAGGTAAGCAGAGGTCTATAAAATATAATATCTACCTATAGTATCACTATACCGGTAAACGGAAAATCGGTCCCCGGACAATTGGTCCCCGTCATTATTTTATACGCGGACAATATTGGTCCCCGGTAATATTTTATGTTATTTAATATTTTATTTTTATTATTATTACACCTGTTGCCTATACAAAAAACGATGAATATGTATTTTTGAATATTTTTTTAAATCCATTAAGTGATAGGGGAAAAAAAATTA